CTAATTAACCATCGTTAAATTCGAGCCCTGCGGTATATTTCCAAAGGTGATTCATCTTTAAGTTGCTGGTGTGTATTGCATAAATATCCCTTTTCTGATGAGCTCTACTAAAAATCATCAAATTCCTCAGATTCCCCTATTTATTTATCGTATGTGTAGACTTAATGCAATAAGTTATTCGAATGCTTTGATATCCAATCTTTATTGGAACAGCTGCTTTTTTACTGTCTGTTTCTATCATAAGGAAAATACAGTTGAAAGAGTAAGTGTAACTTGTTTGTTTTAAAACTACTTCCAACGAGTATTTTGATTTTCCTTTCATTGACATTTATTTTCGATCACGAATAAGTGCTTCAAATTTTTATATCGAATAATAGACTTCGTTTAATAGAAGAATAATATTCGTTTAATATTAGCGATTCTAAATTCCGTTTAAGGGGATTGAAATTCAATTGTTCTGAGATTGGCTCAACTTTCTGCTTTTCATTTTAACTACAGGAGTAGATAGAGTTTTAGATATATTTTCTTTTCGTTAGTTCTTAATTTATTTTACNGTAGTCCTTAAATAAAATTTTTTATATATTTGAATTAGTACTAGTATTAATTTATTTAATTAACCCTTTGACGCAAAATTTGTATTTAACATATTTTCCTTACTTTTTTTTCATTATTTTGTATTAATTTAAATCAAAATAAGTGAAAATATTATAATTAGCATCCTAATAATTTATAGTTATGAAATGCAGCATGAAACAACGTTCTTTTTTGCGTAAACAATAAAATCTTAAAACACTACTCACTTCCAAGCAATAATTTTTCAACTTTCACATATTCGCAATTATTTAAATCTTATAGAAACAATTGTTCATAATTGAAATTTCTTCAATTTGCAAAATAATTTGATAAAAAAAATTTGCTAGTACTTTTATATTTTAGTACAAATATAATTCCATTAATCTAACAATTTTTCATAGTAACTATTGGACGCTTATAATTAAAAAATTCCAAAATATATTTTGGCTTGTAATTTGAGCGACAATATACATACAAGGAGTTAATATCTATTTTAACAGAGAATATTTGTAGTATTTATCTTAGTCTTATTCTAGGACGAACTTTTGAGCACTGGTGAATTTTATTTGAGAATGTTAAAGTTTTTTAGCTTCTTTAAAAAATAGTTTTTTAATATAAATTAAATATAATCCCTAAGGTGATATATTTCTACAAAGAAAAACATACAAGCAAAAATAACACGCATATTAACAAGTTACTTTTTGGCAAGTTACGCTTGTCTTAATAAATGTACTATATTCTATTTATTTCTATTTTAAATCTTATTAAATGAAACTTAGTTGGAAAAAAAAGTTTTGCATAGTGTATTTTATGAAACGCTCAAAGACTGATTCTGAGTTTTGCCCTTTGAGCACATAACTATTCGGAGTAAAAAGTCTAAAAATATAAGAAAGATAATTGGTTTGCAAAAGCATGAATTAAAGTAAAAATATTATAAAACTAACGGGCTGGCAAAAGCATAAATAAAATAAACACATAAAAAGATAAATTTAAATAATAAAAGCAGACGATAAAATTAAAACACCAGAAAGTTGTTTTTTTTTTTTAGAATGAGTTGTTTGTGGAATTTGAGTTTTCATATATCCCGTTATGGGCACTTTATCTAGTTATTTTATAATATTTTATCTATCCCGCTACGGGTGAGTTTCCTTATATCCCGTTACGGGTTTTTCTTGCTGTTTTATGATCTTTTCACTATCCCGTTACGGGTAATTCATATTTGTTACTGTTTGTGTTTGTAAATAAAAGTTTTTATAAAAAAAACTGAACAGTTCTTTAATAAAGCTTGATACGCTACAGGAGGTTTTTTAGCTTGCTCAAAAGTAAGATTCGAAGTATGAATGTTAAGAATATGATTTTAAAATTTAATTACATTGAGCTTAAGAGTTACTATGTGTAATTTTAGTTAGATATATGAACCCTAGCTGTGCTAACTTAATACTAGATCGAATAGTGATTTTTGTTTTTAAAAAATCTGTTCGTTGATCAATTTCAAAATATTAAATATGAAATTTTAGCACCCTCCACCGATTAATGATTTTGGGCATATGCCCTCAACGATCAAATCAATTTCTGTTAATACTTTATTTTTTGTTTCTCATGTAACATTTTTGTCTCTATCCTTTCTCATGAGACAGATGGATGTGTACCAAGAAATTCTTAACAGGCGGGATATGCATTTTCTTTTAATGTCTTTGCGGTCGCATGTGTGCTTAAATACCTGACTCTGGGCTGTGATTTAGTTTTCTAATGATATTCTTCTTCAAAGCCTTGGGGCGTATTTAGTCTGTTATAACTTTCTCTCATGAAAAGCAACAGGTTCTGTCTGATTTCTCCCCCTCCCCTTTCCATAACTGCACTATGAAAAAGAAAGAGACCACGCAGGTTAGCCTCAGGAACCAAGCTACGGTCAGCTATTGCAGAGGGCTTTTGTAGGGTCGTCAGCCGAACCACTCTTTTATTATATATTTTTATTTAAAGTGTTTTTTTTATTTTCTTTATCGCCTCAAGGAGGATGACCTTGCATGTATGGAAACGTAACGCCTGCAACTACGTTGTTGACAAGAGGAATTTGTGATTTAATTCTTGGGGAGCTCCCATGTCATTGTTATTGACGTGTTTGTTTTCTGATGTAGTACTTTTATTTGTTTATTAATTTTCTACATCGTCTCGTTTATTCCTGGTGTAATGCGAGTACTGTTTAATCAAAATTGGATATCACTAAAACGTGTATCGTATAATAGTGTTGAATTACCATTTGCCAAGAGGGAGACTCGTAAAAAAAAATTGTAAATAAATTTTTAATAAATTCGCTTCTGTGGTTTTTTGTTACATTTTTCAAAAGTATCGGTCATTGCAAAGTAACTTAATTCGAGGGACGAAAAAAAAAAAAAAATCAATGTGGATATTAATTGTGGGAACATATAGCATTACTTTCTTTTCTAAATCTCTATAAAAACATAAGTTATTTTTGCAAAATAAACTCTTTATTTTGTCTAATGTTAATTATACTAATAAACTAATGTAATGAAAGTAAAATTTAATTTTAAGAAGTTTTACCTAACGCAAACAAATAAAGAATTTTTGTTTTTTCAGCTTCCATGTTAGTTTGTTTACACTGTAAATATTTTCGCGTGTACGTTGAACAAAAAAATAGCTTGTCTAATGTTTTATCTTCTTTATCGTATACGTTTCTTCTTTTTTCTTTGTTTTTAATGGGTATCATTTAGCGAAAAAACAAGTGTTAAGATAAATTATGATGTTTATTCACGAAACATTTATGTTGATAGTTGTTTAATAATATTCTTTTATTATTATTAAATTTACAAATTAGCTTTTATTTCATACTTTTAGGACATTGTAATACCTGAACTTAATTTCTATTGACTTCACTCTGATCTTATTTTTAACTTTTGATTTAAAACAACTTCTATGTGTTTGTAAAGAATATTACTATTAAGAAAGAAGCACGTTCCTTTACTATAGCCGTTCTGCGAGGGATCGCTTAAAAGAGGGTTTAACATTCCTAACGTATTCTCAGAGGGAGGAAGGTTTTTCGGACTTACCACCTGAGTTGCTAACTTCCTGAATTTTTAGCATATTTTTACGGTGACTCAGGAATCAGTGAAATTTAACCTGTTATGTTTTTACATGAGTACTCTAAAAGCAAATTTCTCTTAAGGATGTCAAAATTATCATGAAAATTGGCGAGAATTGTGAATTACCGATTTAAATTATTTATATTCTAAAAATAGTTTGATGTATAGGAATTATATTTAATAATAAATAAAAAGTACAAATTTTTGTGCAAACGATTTTATGAATCACTTGTATTTTCAAATCGTTTTCTTATTATCAAATATAAACTTGGTTTTTGAGCAAATGATTTACTAAAACACTTTCAGTAAAAAAAAGAATGTAATTTTAGTTTATTATTTGTTTTGTACAATTAGTAAGATAAACTCATAATCGTTAAAAGTGCTAATATTAATAATAGCTAAAAAAGTACTAATATAATAAAATCTTAGTGCATAAGAACAGTATAATTTGAAATGAGTTTTTCTTTTAGTTACTTTTTCCTATGTCAAAATTTTTCCTTTTTTTTTCTTTTTCTTTCCCTTATTGAAATACTAGTTATAGATATTTTGTAATGATTGCGTTCAAATGTAGTCCTTAAATAAAATTTTTTATATATTTGAATTAGTACTAGTATTAATTTATTATTTGTACAATAATGAAAAGAATATTGGACAAATTATTTCAGTGCTAGTCTTAGAAGCGGTATTGCTTGTAGAGTAAACAAAATAGTTTATGACAGTTAAATTAATTTATTCTGACTCTGGAACTTAAGGTTCTTTATTTAGTGAAAAAATTGTTTTTTGAATAATTTTTGTTAAGTAAATAAAAATGTTATTTCAATTCTTTTCATTTATGAAAATTGGGGGAAAAATCATTCCATTGACAAGTAGTGTATTGGAATGATTTATTTCAGTTTCATGTTTGATAATTATGAATAACTGGTGTGAATTAGGTTAAAATAAGTTTTTTTAAAAAGGAAAATAAAAGTCAGTTTTTGAAGTAGCAATAAACCTAGTGGCAAACTATAAAAAAAAAAGAAAAGAAAGAAAAGGGGAATATATATATATATATATATATATTGTATTTAGATTACGTNTGTTTATATATATATATATATATATATATATATAAAACTTACCCTTAGATTATTTATTGGAATTGAAAGACACAATAGTTTTTAAAGAATTGGTAAACATAATTTTTTTGTTATTTTTCAGTTCGTTTTCATGTTCAGTACTTTCAATTCTCTTTAATTTTAAGTAATTCATCTAGTAATGTGTTATGGGAAATGCCTTTAAACTTTTGTTTAAATATTTTATTGTATTTTTAATAATATAAATTTTTTTCAGAACCAGATCGCCAGAGGATAATCATCCATGTTCAAGATGCCAATGATGAAAACCCATATTTTATCAACCGACCTATGCCAATGCAAGCTGTTGTGCAGCTTAATGCCCAACCTGGAACATCTGTATTTAAACTGCAGGCCCGAGATCCTGATCTGGATAGTAACATTCATTATTTCTTGGTTAGAGATCGAAGTAAGTAATTATACTACAAGCTTATTTTATTATTTGCCTAAAATTAAGTGTGAACTTCATTACTGAAGGGCAATTCTAGCTTTTATGAATGTCATATTGGCACCTTCAATGCAAAAAGCTTTAAAAGAAATTAAGCAATTTTAATGATATTTTTTGAAATGTTATTTATGCATACTCTAATTTTTATTAACTTTTCAACATTTAAAATTTGTTTAAAAATTAATTATATCTGGCTGTTATAGAGTTAACGCATTGTTTTTAAATCAATTTTAAATTTAATACTTGTTAAAATTTCAAATTCTTTTAAATTAATGAAAGTTTTTTTTAACTACTTAGTTAAATGACGTCAGGAGTTATTTTTACAAAAGTATTAGAAATATTCGATTTCTTTTAATGAACTGTTTAACATCTTCGAATAGGCTTTTCGGAAATGATGAAATTGCTCTGAATTCGTTGAATAATCAAATCCAGATTTCGTGAGAAAAGTATATACCTACTATATATTTTTACGCCATATTTTTATTAAAATGTTTTTCCCATAAAGCTAATGTTATGCATTATTTTTAATCGAGATTTGTATAAGTTGCTTCGCAGCAAAGTTTTGGAAGATATCTTAATATTTAGTATCTAAAAATGGGTACAAAAAAGTTGTCTTATGTCATGTTTGTCACCAAGGAATTGACCTATAAATATGTTTTACTTTTCCTCCGACCTCTAACCCTAAGCACGCTGCTGCAATTATTACACTGTCAGAAATTTTCAATACTGGAGTGATTGGGGAAAAATATTTTTTTGCTTTCCATTAAAAAAAAATTTTATTTATTATTTGCATTATCTTTAATCAAATGTAAGTTGTTCCTGGAATTTTTTTTAACATTAATTTTTCTTTAATATTATTAATTACTCTAGTGGTTTCTAAAATTTGTCTTATTTTTCAGCCGGTGGCCGATTTGAGGTGGATGAGATGTCAGGGGAGGTTAGAACTGTTGGAGGTGATCCTTTCATGCTGGACCAAGAATATGTTCTCTACGTTAAAGCAGAAGATTTAAATGGCATCAAGGTGACTGGAAAAGAACAGTCTACAGGTGAAGAACGGCTATCCATCATTGGCGGTAAAAGACCACCCCAGTTCTTCATGCAGTCATATTCTGCTAGTATACCTGAGAATAAAAAGAAGGATTCAGAGTATGAATTTGCTTTTTTATATAATTTTTAAATTTATGATTAAAATAAATTTGAACCTCACCATGGGTACCACTCTTCAGTCCTGGTTACTGAAATCAGTCTTAAGAAAAAATCAGTAGACTAAATTTCATCAACTAATATTTCTTTCCCATTCGTTTTTTTTTAAAAATTAAATTTCCTTAATTCCTTAAAAAATTATTAATTTTTATATTACTAGGCACTAGGCATAAATGTTAATGTTAACATCTTTCAATGTTCATCTTAACATCTTTCTTACACTACTCTTGGTTTTCAATCTATGCTGCTTATAAGTCTGAATATAAAATTTGTTTAGATGCTTGTAGATGATTTATTTGTTACTTGTCACTGTTCTACAGTTATTAAAAATGGAACCTGGCATTTTCAAATTACGCCAGTTAAATCTAATTCATTATTTCCATTATTACAGGTGATATGTTCTAATATAATTCACTTTTGAATTATGGTTCATTTTATTACCTCTTCTATTTGGTTTTTTCAGTATTATTTTTTAAACGAAGTGGAGCATATCAACCACCTGTATATTATTTATTTTCATAATAATATCCCCCTTCAATAATAGCTGGTTAGATTATTAAATTTGGAATTGAGTCCAAATTGCAAGCATCTGAATATTTCAATGACTGGGATCTATAGGTGAAAGAGTTTGATATGTTCTGTTGTGATGTTATTATTCACTTTCGAAGTATCTTTTAAAGATCCTATCCAACAATGTAGTTATTTTTAAGATAATTAATTTTTAAGATTTATTTTTTATTGAATATCAACCCTAAGTTTGAGTTTTTAAAGCTTTAAAAATTGAAGCATCTGGTAAACTTAAGAGAATATTGTTTAAAATTTCTTATGTATGTTATTAATCTGGGTTACAATGTTTGCCAAATAAATTTTTTTTCCTCCACTTAAAATTGTTAGGTATTTTTTATGCTAAGTGGACAAATTTGTTGAAATGCTATTTTATTTGTAAATGTACTTGAATTTAATTTAATAATACTTTGTTGACATACTGCCTAACCTTTTAACTCAATGATTACAATCCATATTTGTATGATTTGAATAGTTTTGCTCTAATAAATATTCTTCACTTGTTATGTTATATTTTCACCAGTTTTGCCCCTGGCAACTGTTTTCACGAACCTAATTTTGTATATTTACTATTATATAATGTAGAAAGTAGAATCTTTTTTTAATAATTTTATCATTTTTCTAATGTTGAATAATTTATTTTATAGGATCATTCAAGTGAAAGCCATGTCATTTGCTAATCGACAAATACATTATATTTTGCGTACTAAGGGTCAAGGTGCTGGAACCTTTATCATTGGGCCCACTGATGGTATTGTCAAATTGGCTAAAGATTTAGATTACGAAGATCTACGGCAACCTAAGAAATTTTCTTTGCAAATCACTGCTACTGAAGATTCTGGAGGATTTTCGACAAATGTTGAAGTATGTATTCTTGTGTAGTTAAGAATTGCTAAACCTTTATAATTCAACTTCTTAAATATATATATGTATGTATCGATCAATTTTTGTACGCTATGAAGCATTTATTTGTTCAAAATTTGGAAGCAATAATTTACTCTTAATATTATATTGTTTGTGTGATTAAGTAAATATTCAAAGATCTACCTATGTGTTAACACAAAAATATGCACAACTTATGTAAATTAATGAATATTTTTATTAAGTTTGTCACAACTGACACTATAGATCAACATATTCAGTTGTCAAAAGAAATATTTTAATATTTAAACAAATCTTTGAACTACATTAATTTCAGACATGCTTTGTTTAAAAAGAAGATAGAAATGTCAAAAAAGATTTTTTCCAAGTTGACTAAAATTATTTTCAAGAACAATTTGAAATATTTCAGTTGCAGTCATGTAGATATTAAAAGTCATTAATTATTAAAATTGTCAAGTTTGTAGATAATTTTTTAACTACATTTTTCTCCCTGTAAGTTTAAAGGCTGCATTTGGTACCTGCACTGCAGGATGTGCACCTTTAAATTAATGGTCAAAATCCTAAACAAAGGATATGCGGTACTATTCTGTAAGTATTAGTTATATCTTTTAGGCAAACGAATACTTTCATCAAAATGATTATACATTCTTGCCTTTTTTTATAATCTTTAACATTAGTTGCAGGGAAGAAATTAAAATGTCTAAAACAGTTCTATTTATTATGAAGTGGTATGTTTCAAAATCAGCAAATCCAGAATAAGGTGTTTTGAAAGAAGTTTTTAAAGGAAAATATAAAAAATTTACTTTGCTATGGTCATTAAAAATTGGCCATATTAAATAAATCTTTTTAAAGTTTGAGGTAATTTTTATGTTTGTATGTATTATAATTATATCATTCTTCTATTAATTAATTTTTTCAGTCAACTCCTTAGTTAAGAACTTAAGTTTAATCTAACAATCTTAAAATTTTTCAGCTTAATATTGATGTAACTGATGTTAATGACAATCCACCACGTTTTGAAGTCCCTGATTATCAAGCATATGGAGTACCTGAAGATGTGCCTATTGGAACATCTATTTTGCAAGGTATATATCTCCGTTAGGTGGAGTGATTAGTTTTAAAATACTTAATATATATTATAGATATGTATGAAAAGGGGTGAGGTATATGATTAATTCTAGATTCTTATAAAAGTTCACAAATCATTAACATATATAATTAAAATTATAAAGATTAAAATACATTATACAACCTCCTATTCGGGGTGCTAACAGGAAATTAATATCTATATTATTCAAAAGTGAAATGTAAGATCAGTTCTAAAAGTTTCAATTTATCTTTCAACAGCAGCGCCACTATTTAAATGTAGCTGATGTAATGTCAAATCATCATTGAATGATGCAATGCTTTAATCTAGATGGCACACTACCACCACTAATATTCTATGCACACACATGTATAGATATTTATACAATATAAAATCTCTCTAACGAGTCTTTCTGTATTAATTCTTACCTTAAAATAGATTTTCTTATAAACTTTAAGGCTTAAAATTGCTCTTTCATAAAGAGCCATAAAAAGTCAATATTCTAATTAAAAGAATGTTCTGTAGGTAATGGTTAATAATTATTAGAAATATACTTATTAAGAAAATCCCAAAAATTCTTTGGAGTTCTGCATCTGTTAAAATGAATCAAAATGGTTAAATTTTTTCTTTTGGATTACATTCAATTTTACCTTGCAGATTCCTATATGGTACAGTCCGAATTTGCTTCACTGCAGCGCTAATGGCTAAACCCTAAGACGCTGACTAGGGAATCCTTTCATTAACAAATTTATCATACGTTTCTAAATATAGCTTAAAAGACGTTTCTATTTGTAAGATATTTCAATATTTTTATCCCATATATATGCAGTGGATCCCCAGTTTTACATTGTCTGTTACATGCGTTATCCTGTCTCTGATGCCATTTTCTGCCAGTTCCTGAAAATTGCCAATACCGATAATATTAAATTATTCTGGATTTTAAGTTATGTACTCTTTTTAAGAAAATTCTGCTTAATGTTTTTCTAGCAGATCAAAATAATTTTTTCTTTGCTAGACTCACACTGACTTTTTCCGTAATCATTCTTCCTTTCTTTTCTCTCATTTTTTTTTAAAAAAAGTCTTGTTCTATTGTACAGTTTGAAGCTGTTCATGCATTCTATTTTATTTACTTGTCCTTTTTTCTGTAAAAAGAGATTTCCTTCTTGAGTCAAAATCAGAAGGGTAGTGGTATGGTCAAACCACAGGAAGGGTGGTTTGGGAGCTTAAATTTTATAACTTGCGAGTGGAATTTTTCCAGCAAATTTCAACCTTTGTATCTTGAAATAATTCAATAATTTGAAAAAACGTTTCATTAAACAGCTTAGGTAATCATTTCTTTTTCTTGATTCCATTGATCAGCATGATGCTTCTAAAGCAGAAATAAATGTTCTTAAAAACTCTGAATTTGTTTCTTTGAATAGTGTGGACTGAAATGCATTGCAAAGGGGTTTAATAAGGTAGGCTTCTCTGTATCTGAAGGGAACATTGGGCCTTTGTTATGATATTGAAAATTTTCTGAAGTCGATGACACATTTATGGACTGCAACACACATCCCATTGGTTTTCAATATCTGATTTAATGCCTACTTCGGCTAAAATGCCTGCTTCTGCTACAATTATAAAAACAATAAATAAGAGTAAAATGTATTGAAGAATGAATATAGCCACTACTGATCAAGAGTTTAAAAGTATAAAAACTGTGAAATAATATTTATTTGCAAATGTAAACTAAAAGGCAAATTTGCAAACAATTGTAAGTATTGAGAGGAATATTGTTGAAATAGAATCTAAAAATTGAAAAACTGGCAAAGTCTTTCTAGTCATGTTTTTTCCCCCCCATCTGCCAAGTGTAAACTTTTGAAATTTCAACGTTTCTTTAATTTGCTTGAAATAAAATTCTAGTTTGAAAACTTGAAAAAATATTTAATACTAAAGGATTTTAATAAATAATTTTCATTCAATTACTACTATGAAATTTTTAATTTCTGTTCTAAATTAATTAATTTCAAGTAACAGTTTTTTCAAAACGGATCATTTAAATCTGTAATTATCTTTATCAAATTTCTTATCTTTTTTACAAGTACAAGTGCTTAATTTGAATGAAGTATTATGTTTTTCAGTTTTTATTGTTTCTTAAGGATAAATATTTTAGCCAAAATGTTTTTAATTTTGCCTTAAATATGTATATATTACTATATTAAATATGTATATATTAAATATATATTACTAGATAAATCAAATATTTTAACATTGAATTTAGTGAAATTTATTTTTTATTGCAGTTTCTGCCACTGATACTGATTCTGGAAAAAATGCTGACATAGAATATTCCTTAGATAAAAGTGATTTTACAATTGATGCTCGGGGAGTTATTTACTCTAATAAACGTCTTGATGCAGACATTGTAAATACATACGAGTTAGCGGTTCGAGCAGTGGATAGAGGAGAACCTCCGCTTACAGGTACAGCTACTGTTCGTGTCTATACAGAAAATCGAAACGATGAATCTCCAAAGTTCAGTCAGGATGTCTATACTCCAAGTGTGGATGAAAATGCTGGTCCTAACACATTAGTGACTACCGTGGTTGCCAGTGACATTGATGGGGATAATGTTGTCTTCGGTTTCCAAGGTGGCGATACTGTTGCTGGAATGTTTGAAATAGAAGAAAGAACAGGTAGCATACTTATTTAGTATCATTGAAAATTGTTATTACAGATTATTTATATGTATAATATCTTTTACTGCTTTTAATTGCTTTTATTTAAGATAATTAAAAAAAAGTGTTTCTTATATATTACGACCACTTTTGCCAAATCTGAAAATAAATTATGAAGTTGTTCAAATATGAATAATTCCTTATTTTTGCAAGCAATAATTTATATTTGTATGTTGTCTAGTTTTTATTATCAATTACTATGTATAAATAAATTTGGAAGATACCAAAATGACTTAAGCGTGTTGTTAGCAATAATGGTCGAGAGGATAATACATCTATACCAAATGAAGTCTTCATTTAAAATTTATTTATATATTATTGATTCAGATATTTAATATTTAAGTGCTACTGAAAATAATCAAGCTATCCTTAGATTATTTATTGTAAGAGTTCCTCTAATTTCATATGTATTTGTCTGGGATTTTATTAATTAATTACTAAATACTTTAAGATATCAAATGCTATTTTATTAATTAAAAAAATCATAAATGTGTTTATTCATGTGTACCATTTATCATTCGAAATATTTTTAATAGTTGGATATTTTCTTACTTAGCTCTTTGGATATAGGATGACAGGTATATTCAGATGCCATTAAATTTATTTGCTTTCTTCCTATAAATAAATAATGCATGTGAAAGGCATTAACTGCCTACCATGCTATTTTTATTACTGCATGCTTTGACTAGAATTACTATAGATATCAAGTTCTATTATTTAATTTTATTTGTTATATAACCAGTGTGTTGTTTACTATGCATGCCATAGTATTGTTTTTTACAAAATAATATGAATAAAAATGTAAAATTGTATTTGCTAGCATGCATATGTTTTATTTCAAATTATATTTATTGTTAACAAAGTAGTTATTTTTAATGTACAATACATCAATATTGTTATTAAGTTGGTTTCAAACAGAGCATTGCATTTTCTGAGTTTCTTTTAAATGGTTTTTGAAATATTTTATAATTGTTTGCCACTTTTACAGGCATGTGAGTTAAATTGAGCATGATACCTTAAAATTATTGTATTTTCTTAATATTCTTACTAAAATGTCTTTAATTATGTTTTTCTATGTAATGACTTCTGTAATATTTAAATGTACAATATTATTCTGTAATATTAAAATACTAAATTTCTGTAATACTAAATTTCTGCAATGGATCCCAAAAACGCTTGATAATTCACACCTACGGAATTTTACAATAATATATCTGCAGATAATTTTTTAATAATTAAACTATGTTATTAAACTAAAAATATCGGATTAACAAATCTAAAAACTGAGAATCTGTAAAAAGTGCTATATGACGCATTTTGGGTATCTTTGTAGAATATGTTTTGTATAAATATAATTAATATTTTAAAAAAAGAATAAGTTTTAATGTTTTTTTGTAAACGATGTTTTTTCCCTTCACGTGCCTTCCTGTTTATCTCATTTATAGTGTTAAAACCAACTTTATGAGATATTAAATAAATTTAAGTAATTAGATAAATTTGTTTCACTTCTTATGTTAAATACTTCTTGTTTTGTATACAATTATAATTATGATTTGATTAGATAAAAACTTCAGTCCAACATTTACGGATAAAAATAGTCAGTTTAAAAATTAAAATGGTGAAGTTCTAATTTTTATTGCAATTAAAAATTATTTAACTTTTTCTTTTGAATTATAGGTGTTATAAGATTAATTAATGGTCAGATACATCTAGACAAAGATAAATATGAATTGAATGTAACAGCAAAAGATGATGGAGCTTGTTGTAAAAATGGCGAGCGAACACTTCACACAAGTACTGCACTTGTTGTTGTCTTCATAACTGATGTAAATGATAATAAGCCTGTGTTTGAAAATTGTGATAATTATAATCCCAAAGTTGAAGAAAATGCAGACCCTGGAACTTTTGTCATTAGGGTAAGTCTTCTACTTTTGTCATTCGAATGAAAATTATTTTCTACTGACTAAATTTTGAAGAATTTGTTGTTTTGTAAATAAACATGTAAGCAATTTGATGAATATAAATAGCTACTCAATTACTTCTATTTGTTCTTTTGCTTTGTATTGAAGTAAACAAAATAGTGAGCAAAGATTTTTGATAGGATGTTTGAGTTTTTTGTCACTATTTTGCAGCTATATATTAGAAGAAATTTAGCAACTTGATTTGTTTTATTTTTTGATAGATTTTTTTGATTTTAAATTGAACTTTTTTACTTTGTTATAAGTTATTTTTAATACTGAAAATTTAATGAGCAATATTTTTCCTTAATAATGCAAAATTTTTTATCTCCTTATGATAATAGTTAAGATGACTTTGATAACAATTGCATCCGTATATTTTCAGTGTACTAGATACAGTATAGCAGTTTATAAACTTATTCCATTGCAGTAAATCCCAATCTTTTATTTACATTTATTTATAATATTATGTATTAAAATGAATTTAAAAAAAAAAAAATTATTTTTGTTTTTAACTCCTACATTAAAGTTATATTTATCATTATTATGTAAATAAATTGTTTTGAGTACGATTTTGTTTATTTTAAAATAGTTCATAGCTTAAGGTTGAACTAAACATATTGCAGAGCAGTTTTCCAATTGCTTATACGATAAGACTTTGATTATCTAAGCTAGTACCTCAGATATCGGAAATCTCGGTTAATAGGAACCATGTATAAAAACCTTCCGTGCTTGCAAATTTAACTACTTTTAAAGTAAAAAACAATAGAATGTTTTTAAAATGATAAAAATAAACATATATGAACTTATGTTCAACAGCTAAAAAGACTTAAAAAGGAAATCAAGTCTAGTAGTAAATTTTAAAAAGTAAAATGGAATTTTTTTAAACTATACTTAGTGAAATATCGAAACACGCATTTTCAAAAATAACACAAATCTCAAGAAAATATTGTATTTTTAAAATTTACATGATTAAACTTACAAATCACATGACCACTGTTAACAAAGCATTCATGGATGTTGTCTTTCTTCTCAGGGTGTAATATTTCATGGAAGTTGAGTGCTTTTGTGGGGAATAAGTGCCTGTAACACGGACAACGAACTAATATGTGTATAATTTCTTCCAAGCTCATTTTGGAGAGGAGAAAAAAAAATTTAGACTTCGTTATTGCCTCGGTTAATCGAGGTTCTACTGTACTTTGTTTTATTTTAAATGTTATACAATATGATTTAATGTGCAGATAAAATGTATTTCAATTAGGCTAAGTAGCTGACCAAATAGATAATTTCTAATTAGTTTATATGTTTTAAGTTCAAATATGTTTTCTTTTGTTACTTTCTTTAAAACTTAGTATATTTTAAACTTCATTTTTGCCATATTTAGACTATTTAATCATTTGATCTATGCTATTGGTAAATTTTGTTAATTAACGTTGAATGCTTTGTTTGCTATCCAACAGGTTGAAGCAACAGATCAAGATAAGGGATATAATGGTCAAGTACGATATTCAGTAGTACAGCAACCAAATCAAAGAGGAACAAAATTCATTGTAGATGAAATTACTGGAGATGTTAGGACAAATAAGGTATTTTTCTCTCTCCTCTAATTGAAATACTTTCTGTTTATAGATTTATCAGTCTTATAATCATTTATGAATTATTATTAAAAATAACTTCAAACATGCTGTTTACATAATGTCTTACACTCAATGCACATATACATATCTATATATATATTTCTCTTACACGGCGATAAAAAAAAGCCTCATTACAACTCCCCGAATGGCAACGCTAGAAAATAGATCAATGATTGATGCTAAAAATGTCACATGCCAAATCTAGCTAAGATGGCTCAACATATAGCGCTTTTAAAAACGGAAACTGAAATAACCAGGGAGAGCATAAGCTAGGCAGAAGATCTCTATTTTAGTTTTTTGTCGAAAGCGTTTTTTTTTCCACGAATTTATGTATTACGAATTTATTTGACAGTTTTTGATTTATATCACTAATTTATTTGTTTTACAAGAATTTATTTGTTTATGCGGGTTTTTCCATTGCAATTCACTTATTTAAATTTTTAATAGACTTAATTATAGCCGAAATTTTAACCTTTTTAAAGAGATATCAGTTTTAGAAATTTTATCTCAAGATTTTATACTATAGCACATTTCTAATAGATTTAACGAATTACATGTCATTTATTTGAATTCAAATTTATTTTAAGGACTCAGTATTTACTAAAAAGATGTAATTTTTTTTAGAAAAAAAAGTTGTTATATGGATTTGAATGATTGTTTTGAATTCTTAGAATTTTGTGCATTTGCAATGTACCTAAATTAGTAGCGAGCGAAGCGAGCTTGGTTTGCGGAGCAAACCATATAACATTGCGTAGCAATTTTCGGGGGTTGGCGAGCGTTAGCGAGCAGGGGGCGCAGCCCACTAGTATAAATATATAATCTAAGTATGAAGGTTAAAGCAATTTATAATTTTTTTTCAAATATGATATATTTTTTTTATTTCTTTTAATAGAATCTATTATAATTGTATAAATTTCTATATCATTTTTTAAATGTATATATATTCTTTATAAAGTATGTACTTAATTGTCAAATTTATTATTTTTTTATTTTTAAGGCTAAATTTACATTTCTGCGACTTAAAATTGTTTTTTTTTTTTAATTGCCCATGATGTGTTTCATGAAAAAAAATTATGTATTAGAGTTGCATTAAATATATACTATTCTGTCCTTCTGATTGAATCTTCACATGATCGAAATTTTAAATCAACTGGAGTCACAAGGGAATTTATATTCAACTATTTATGTTAACACAGAACATGCTAAATGCAAAATGTGTGGATTAATCATACAATTTTCAATCTAAAGACCTAACAACTTAAGCAAAAAATTGACATTATACTTACAAATGTATGCAATAATATATACAAATGTATGCATAAATGTATGTAATAATATTTTTATATATACTGCTGTATTTATTGAAATCTTACCATTGCATCTTTCTTTTTATTCTTTGTACTTAATCAAAGGTTTTTTGATTGCATCAAGACATGTGTTTTATTTTATGTTTCAATATAGCTGATAATATTAAGGAAATGTTTTAGTAGCGATTGTTTGTAGATTGTTGTTTGCTTAATTTAAATATTTAGGTACAATTGTAAACAATAATAATGACATTATAATTGAAATCAAAAATCGAATCAACATGGCTACCAGATGTTATCATGGATTGAGAAACCAGTTCAAATCTAAATTCGCAAGTTTAAAAAAAAATACAGTTAAACACAACACTAGTGAGACCAATAGTTTTATATGGCAGTAATTGCTGGGCAATTTACAAAGCAGGCGAAGAGAAATTGATGACTTTCAAGAGAGAAATATTAGAAAAAATTTTGGTACAGTAAAAGAAAACAGAACCTGGAGAATTTGTTACCGTTATGAATTACAATCAAAATGCAAATAACTGCACATAGCAAAAATGATCAAGGTTTCTCAATTAAGGTTTGGTAGGACATGTAATTGGAGATAGCGATGAAAATCCTGTTAAAAATAACCTTCCAAATCCCAGAGCAGAAAAGAAAAAGGTGACGACCTAGAACAAGATAGTTAGATAGAGAACAGAAGTAGTTAAAGGACTTGGGAGTTAATAGATGGAGAAATATAGCATGAAATAGATCTAGTTAGGGTAAAATGACCGAGACTGCCTTGGCCAGTAACCCAGCTGTGGTGCCTAAGAAGAAGATAGTTTGTAGATAATGTTTATTCCAAAAAGTGGCTAATTCTCAACCTGGGCTCTTAATTTCATTGGGTGCTAGTTGTCAAGAATAATGTATTCCAATTTTAAATAATCTGAATAAATTTATAATATGTTTAACAACGAAAAATGACCTTTTAATAATCTCCGAAAAAATTGTGTTTCCCACTATGTTTTTAGAAATTAGTTTTTATAAACTACATATTTTTATAGAAAATCTTGCGTGATTGAGCATTTATATAGTAAATGTAAGACTATTAAAATTCTTGTCTTTTGAAATTCATGTTAATTTGATTAAGAGTTTTTTAAAATTTGAGATTTTGTATATTATTTACTTGCAGTTATGTAGCAATGTAAGTAAAGTATATATGAAACTATGAAATATTCAATAAATTTAAGATTTGTTAAGCATATGTGCTTACCATAAGAACAGCATTTTGGTTATAATTTTTGAAAATTTTCAGCAAATTTTATTATTTAAGTTTTTTTTTATTTGTTTCAAAGTTTAATGTATTCCTTATTGTTGAAAATCTACCCTTTTTATTACTATCCCCTATTGAAGCTACTCTTTTATTGTAACAACCAGGGTTTGTTGATTTAAATCAGCTTGATTTTAATCACGATTTAAATCATAATTTAAATCAAATGATTTTTTTAAAAAAATCATTGATTTAAATCAACTAATTTTTTTTATGTATATATTGATTTAAAAAGTTAAAAAACAGTGTTTTAAATTATTGATACTTTTATTATTTCTTTTCTTAGTTTTAAAATTTATTTTAAATAAATTGCTGCATTAATTAATTTTAGTTAACGAAATTACTTTCTTTCTTGGTATGTGTTAAATTTTAACACAATCGAAATTACATCTTGAAACTCTTGACTCTTGAGATTGAAAGTACAGATTAAAGTAAACATTTAAGTATTTTTTTCTCATATGTTTACAGTATCTTTGACATTATCAGATTTTTTATAAAGAAATTTTGTGAAAAAAAATTTCAATGAGTATATAGATTTTTTTTAAAATTTTTTTAGCTTATCTGTTTTGACATAGGATTAAAAACAAATATTTTAATATAAAAATATATAGATTAAATATTTATTTATTTTTTGATGAATGACTGCATTTATAAACACAATCTGTTACATTTATTTAGTCATTTTAAAAATCAAGAGAGAGAAAAAAAGGAAATCACAATTTTAAATTAAAATTATGATTTGGTAATTGAAACTTTGTTTTATAGTTAAAGTATTCCTTAAATTCTCTATTTCATCTAGTCTTTAAATTTCAATCATGCATTTGTTTTGAAATAGTTGCCATGCATTCAAAGCTATGTACTATAATGAAAAATTGTTTTAGGTAGTTAGAGCTTCTAAAATATTCTTATAATATAATTTTAATATTAATTTAATTTTAATTAAACATTTATAAAGTTTTTTTTTGTCATAAATCAAAGTTCTTACAGTGTATTTGAGAATAAAAATCAAAAAAATCCGATTTAAATCAAAAAAATCTGACTTTTTTGATTTTTTCTAAAAAAATCAAAAAAATCACGAACCCTGGTAACAACCAATAAAAATGTCTTGCTTGCTATGGCAGGACACAGTGTAATATTTAGTAAAATGTTCTATGAATGCCTCTTATTCAAGCTTATCCAAACTAAGTTAGTCAAATTAATATAGCAGCTGAAACCTAGTATTCTTTTTTCTTTTAAATTTTAATTACAAGTGTTAAGCATTTTTGCACTTCCAAAACAAAAAGTTTCCATTAAAATAACAAAAGTTTCAAAGAAATTATTTAAACCACTATTCTCTTGATGTTTCTGCACATTAAATTTGAAACATCTGGAATTCATTTTGAATAAAAGAAGTTTTGCAAGATCCTTTAGAATCTTTGTTCTAAAAGATAATTAAAAAAGTTTATTATTGTAACCTCCCTCCGCCAAAAAGAAAAAAAATGCACCATTGCTCGGGGGTAATATATGTGTTATTGAAGGAAAATAATGGCTTGCTATTTGAAATGTGTGCACAATTATTCAACTTTTTAAAGTGTAGCTTATTTTTGTTGCATTCTTTTAGCATTTATTAGTTGTTATTAAAAATGAATGAAATTTTCATACACTCCTGATATAGCAACCTCATGCTGAAATGCCTGTTTTTACACCATTCACTGGTGTTGTTACATGTAGTGATGACTATTTGAAAATCACATTTCATAAGTCAATTAACTCATTGTCAAGTTACATTTTGTAATCTAAAAATTGTAATGATACACTTTTTGGATTAAAATTGTCATATGATAAGTTCTTTAAAAAGATAAGTTTAATATTAAAGTTCTGAAATTGATTTGTATCAAATGTGTTATGCATATAATTAATTATACATTTTATATTATTGCATTTATAATTACAAGAATATTAGAAAATTATTCATTGTATTACATATTCCGTGTAGGAATTGTGAATATAGTTTTTTTCCACCTTGTTTTCATAGTATAAATAGTCTACGATAATTCTAGGAACTTGACTATTAAAATTACGATTAACTAAAGTAAATTAAATTAGACCTTGTTATAGTAAAGAAATTAAATGTAAGCGATTATTTTATGGAAAATTCCATGCTATTGTAGTTAGTATTTCTTCTCTCTCATAATTGCATTTTTCTTCTTAACTAGGTCTTCAATAGAGAAGGAGAAGATGGTCGATTTGTGAGTGTCACCTTAAAAGCCACTGACAGGGGAAACCCTCCATTGGAAGGAGTTTGCTCTTTCAAGGTGGAAATTACTGATGTGAATGACAATCCACCATTGTTTCATCGCTCAGAATATCACGAAAATATAAAGCAAGACACACCTGTTGGAAGCAATGTTCTGCGAATTGCAGCATCTGATGAAGATGCTGATAACAATGGAGTAGTTGTCTACAGTCTATTTCCAACTTCATCAGAATATAGAGGCTATTTTAGTATAAATCCAGAGTCAGGATGGATCAGTTTGAAGAAGTCACTTGATGTAAGCTTACTTCTTTGTTTTAAATTAAGGCTGCACATCATTTTTCAGGAGAGAACTGCCTAAGAAAAAAAAAATTAAGCTTTTAGTAGTAGCTATGAATTCAGTTTTAATACCAATCGATACGCCTTAATTTTTAAAAGGCTAAGTTCCAAAATGATATATAATCTTTACCTCGTATATGCAAATATTTTAAATATTATTTGAAGTGTTGTCTAAAAACATGTAAGTCTTAAAACATGTTTAAGTCAAAGAAAATTTTCTTTATACACTATTAAATTTTGAAACTAAAATCTTTTGACACTTTGGATAAGTACTTCTATATATTGAAATTTTAATGTAATAATTTCAATGTTTTATCAAGGTTCATTGAAATTAAATTAAAAAATGGTAATGGAATTTCTTATTTAGATTTTTTCCCAAATTTCTTACAAACCTGAAAAGTACATTGACTAATCGAGGGATACTGATTGAGCTCTAATAAGAGTCTCTTTATGTTACCAATATACTTTTTTTGTATTTATTTACTTTTGGACTAAATTAATGCTATAAAAAAATGTAATGCAATTGTTATCAAGAGATAAGCCCAAACTTTTAATTAATGTAATTTTTCTTAAGTTTTTATTTTCTTAAGAGAAAGAACAATTTAAAATCAATATAAAAAAACTCATCGGTTTCATCAAAAAAGTTTTTTTTTTTTAAAAAAACTAGTAAACAGTAGTTCTAAAATTTTGTGATGATTACCTCTATTTGTATTTTAATTTATTTAATATTAAATTGCTTTAAATCTTTATGTTTCAATTGAAGTTTACTAATCAAGTTTTTGTCTATAGCGTGAAAAGTACTTTCTGAGAGCAGAAGCAACCGATAAAGGTGTCCCACCAATGAAGGCTTCAGTGAATGTCATTTTGGAAGTTGTTGATCGAAAAAATAATCCACCTGTTTGGGATCAACCTGTATATGGACCTATTTCATTAAAAGAAAACATCCAGCCTGGTCAAAAAGTAGCAGCATTAAAAGCTAGGCAAGTTATCCATTTTTTTTTAAAGAAATTATTATTTTAAGAATAACTTAATGTAACCTGACTAACCTTGTAATTGACACATGCATTTAAGTGTCAATGTTATTAAGTACTTGTGTAATGATTTATTTAGTATACCAAAAATAATTTTTTCTTTTTAAATTTCAGATCTGGAATTCCCGATAACCCAAGAGTGTTTTATACTTTAATCAAAGGAGGAACTGAGCAGACGAATGGAAAAGATACATTTTATCTTTCACAATATAGTGAAGGCGGCAGCACTTGGGCAGGAATATATGTGAATTATGTATTAGATTATGAAAAAGTCCAGCAGTATAATTTAACTGTGAGAGTTGAGGTATGTGATAATTCAATTGTTAATATAAAGCCGGCAGTAAATATTCCGTTGATTAAGTTCATGTTCCAGTATATTACAGGTTTTAATATTTATGTTGTAATATTTTCAGAATAATGGTGCTCAACAGTTAGCTAGTGAAGCTACAGTTTATATAGTTTTGCAAGACGTAAATGATGAAATTCCATTATTTGTTGAGCAAGAGCAGGAGACAGTGCTTGAAGGAATGCCTATTGGAACCAAAGTTACTCAAATAAGAGCAGTAGATAAAGATGGCACATATCCTAATAATAAGGTGGGTATTAAGCTTGAATTACTGTACTTTCCAGATTTATTTATTTGGAAAAAACAATTTAGTTTGAAGATTGAAGATTAAATTGAAGATTAAGTCAATTTCAACAAACATGAATGTTTTCATTTCATTTCATGTTTGTATTTTTTTTTATCCTTGAAGAGACAAAATATACATACTTTCTTAACATTTGTTTTTTCTAATAATTCAATTTCTAATTATTAAATAGATTCATTCCATTGTACAATTGTTTATTTTCCACACTATTAAAACTAAATACAAATTTTTTCTATACATGCCCAGTTGCTTAAATATTCTGCTTCTTTTGTTAAACACCTTCGATTAAAAAAATTAGCTATTCAAAATGCTTCCCCAAAAAATATTTTGCATTTACTATAATTTTCAAAGAAACTGTTAGCAATATATCTCATTTTGTAAATTTTAAATAATTGAGTTAATACACTAAGCATCTAAAAAATATGTTTAAAAATTTCATATCTAATTTTTTACACCAATAAGGTGTACCATATCTTATTACCTTTTTTTTTCTTCTTCTTATTAACTTAGCTTAAAAATAATACAAATTTCATTAAAATTCTTTGTTATCTTATGAGCAATTTAATAGCAATTAAAAATTTATCTTTTTAATTCCATTTTTATTGTTAAATGTATTTTACTTTTGTTTTTTGTAGGTTTATTATTCAATTGAAGATAAGGATGACGGGGAAAAATTTAGAATCGATCGAGAAACTGGGGAGATATTTACGAAAGAAATTTTTGATAGAGAAGAGAGACAATCCTATGTTGTAATTGTAAAAGCTGTTGATGGAAACCCCTCTGCTAGACCCAATGTTCCTGAAGGTGAACCAAATTCAGGTAAGTTTCAAAGAATTTGTCATTATTATTTTAAAATTCTGTGGCATGTAAAAATGAAATGGCTTTGCAATCTAATATCTTACCACAACTGTAACTGAAATATTAATAATGACAAAAACAAATAAGTGGTTTCCTTGAATGAAAAAAAAAATAAATATTGGATTTTGAGGGTGGCTGTATTGTTTTTGACATATTGTCAATGCTTTAAATATCTGCATATAAAGTGAATTGATAGTTAAGAACTTATTCTTTATAATTTCAATATACAGAGCAGATTAAGAGCTCAGTTTTTTTCAAACATGTGGCTATTAGCTGGTAAGAACTGAACCATATTTTTAATCAAATAATTTTTAAAAAACTGGGTAATTTTTGAAAGTATAGAAGGTCAAGAAATGTTTTTAAATTTTAACACTGAACTTACTAAAATGGATTTTCATGACTATTATATATATATCTTCTCTAAAATGAGATAAAGCTTCAATAGAGATCAACTGTGTGTAACGTTGAGATAATGTAATAATGTATTGTAAATTGGCTCGTACCGTTATACTGTTTTGTTATTATAGATTAAATCTAAATTTTGAATAATTTTCATTTGTAAAATGTTTTACAATCTTTTAATTTAATTGAATAAGGACCAAGAGATTTTTATTTCTCATATAAGTTGGAATGGAAATAAATCCTTATCATTCGGTAACAACTATGAAGAAGTATTTTTTAGTGCTGATCAATATTAATGTATCTTTTCTCTTGCTACTTTAATTATTTTTTTAACTGGAAGTATTTAAAAAAGTAGTTCTGCGTAGAATTTAAAATTATGCTGAAAATTTACAATTGATAAAAATTGAGAATTGAATCAGTTACATTCAGAAAATAAACCATCATAATCACTTTTTGTAAAACAGTCAACTAATAATATTGGAAAACTAAAATATTTTTAGATAAAAACTATTTTGCAAACATTTTTATTTGCCAATTGTCTATATCAAATATTCTCATTTTTAATTTTTATTTGAGTTTTAATTTTAGAGGATTCACTTATTTATAGAGTATTATTTGTTAAATCTACTCTTTTATTTTTTTATTCTTTAAATAAGAAGTTGCACTTAATTTTACAATTTTAATTTTTCTGGTGCTGCCATCTATTGGTGCCATCTATTTCTTTCACCTCTTTATTAAATTATTTTTAATGATATAAAAAAAATCTGTAGATTTATTTTTTATGTTTTATCGCTTTCAAAGTTAAAATTTTTAAATAAAATATTTAACTCTACGCAACCTTTGTCTACTTATTGATATTCATTTATCTAATGAACCCTGGCCATTTTAATAAATTTTATCTTATTCATCTTAATTAATTTTTAATGTGTGCAATAAAATAACCAAATACACATTAAATGTACCTTAAATGCTGTTCAAATATTATGTAAGCTCCTAAGGTAAAGAAAGAGGGCTTTCTGATTGTATTTCTGTTCTTTCTTTTTCTTGTTTTCTTTCTTTCTGGAAACCAGAGTAGTGTAAGCAATTCAATTTATTTTAGGAAAGACATTGGTCATTTTTTTTTCAATAAAGTAAATTGAAAGACATTCAATTTGCTTTATTGGGGAAAAAATAGTAAATTGTAAAAATAATTCGATTTCAAACTTTTTTTTTTACCTAAGCACAGCAAATCTAATTTACCTAAGTACTTAATCAATAATCCTACAAAGAAACTATTTTTAAATAAGTAATTATTGTCTACTAGTATACTAACAAAAGGGGAGTAGAGAACAAGTTTTGATATTATACACTGATAGGCATAAAAATGTTTTTATTCTTGTAATTGGCATTTAATGCTTAAGATTTCAGAAAATTATTTATTTGCCAATTTTTTTAATAGACTGATTTTGCTTAAGTATATTTATGAGGAATCTTATAAATAAATTTTTTTTTTCTATAACAAAAAGTCCTTTGACAGATATCACTAGGTTTAGTAGCTATCTGGGCAAACTTCAAATCTAGTGAAATAAGGATGTATTTATCATGTGACTTAAAAAAGAATATACTTAATTAAAAATCTAGACAGTTAGTATTCTTTTCTTCCTTACTATAGTATACTAATATGGTAAAAAGTAAATTTATTAAGTCATTTGGATTTTTTTAGGACTTTATACTTTTTTAAAAATATGCGGTTCCAAACCAAAAGTTGATTTCAAATTGAAGTGGATCAATAAGGATCATAATAAAAATTTTTACCTTCTTTCATCACATAATTTTTGACACAAGTCTTTCTATTATCATGGTTTCTACATGTATCATAGTTAGAGTTATCCCTAGGAATAAAAGAGGGCAGGGCACTTCCCGTCAGAAAAGGCACTTCGAGTTTTGAAAGGACACTCATTAACACCATGAAAGCTTATTAAAATGTGTAATATTATGTAATGACAGAATTTTATCCTTAATTTTTAAATTACCTTCTATGATACTGTGTTTAAAAATAATTCTCCTTCATTATCACAGTTAATTATTATAACTTTATATATAGCATAGTTTTTTTTTTCTAAGAAAATAAACTAAAAGAAAAAAACAAAGAGGATTAATTTATAATCAATTTGAAATTTTCTTTGTATAATTTAAACTGAAGATTAAGAAAAAATTAACATTTAAATTTGCTTTTAAAAAAAAAAACTTTAAAAAATAATTTTGAAATTTAAAATTACTTAAAAAATTTTCTATCCTCCCTCCACAAAAAGAGATACTTGTAAACATTTAACCAGTTGAGAATAATTCTAACAAAGAAAATATTTGTAATAGTAATCAGAATTAAACCTATAAACAGAATTTATTTAATAATTTATTAATTTATAATTTATTTATAATTTATTTATTATAATTTATTAATTATTTACCTGGATGTAATTATTATTTAAACAGTGTATTAATTTTTTTCAAATGGAATATGAATAAAAAAGCAATGTTTTTAAGAGATGGCTGCTTATTTTTACAAAAAAGGCCAAAAGGGTGCATTTATTGGGATCAAAGGGCAAACAGGGTGGGGCACTCTTCTAAAAACTCTGAGAGTGATCATAGTTATGTAGTTATTATCATGAAACAACGTAACATCGACTTATTCATGTATGGCATTTTCTCTCTCTCTCAATCTCTCTCTTTTTCTTTTATCAAGTATGATCAGGCATATTATTTGAATAAGTGGATGTCTTACAGAACTGTGTATTTTTTACAATAAATATTTGAAGAAAGTAATGAAATTTATTAATAAATTTCTGTGTTTTTGAGGGTGTTGAATTTTCTAGGTCTTATTCTTATTATTCTGAATTTTATATTATATTTATATTATATAAAATATATTTATAATTTTATATTATATTTTCCCTTCATTCCCTCATTTCAATGTTGATAGTCATATTAAGAAATTAATTCTATGCTTACATAATTCCTTTGTTGCATTGTCAAAGTTTTTCATCGACTTTTTGACGTCGTTACCATAACGTAAACTCCTTTTCTTCTTTTTTTTTTAAGGAAAAAAGAACGAAATCAGTAATCAACTATGTTTTATTAATCTTTGAAAGTCGTCGGTAATAACGTCAAATTGAAGTCTCTCCACTAAACATTTTAATTAAATGAATATTTCATATGTCAGAGCTGTTTATGCTCTTTAATGCTTAAACAAAAGAAAACGGAAAAATCCCGTTGAGAAAAAAAAAGACTGAATTAGTTTTTGGAACTTATTTCCTTTTCGTTTGCGTGTAAAACGTTTAATTTTGATTCAGTATATGTAATGCTATTTAAAGAATACCTTCTAGTTGCTTTTAAATAACTGCTTTACAAAAGAAAGTTTTTTTTTTTAAACTTTAATTTCCGCCCTTTTTTTGCTAAGCATTTTATGTTTAGACTAAAAACAACCATTGAATAATTTCTGAGGTAAAAACTTAAGCTTTGAAAATTGCTGTTCGCGAAAAGGGCACCCGCAATTCGCCTCAAAAATACATTTCCCTTTAATGTTAACTTTTCCCCCCCGTCCTTTCTTTTTTTTCCTTCTCTTTGTTCTGAGTGAAATTTGACAAGAGGGAAACTGTATACCTAAAATAAAATGTCTTTTCCCTTTTCTTTTTGTTTTGGAATAAAAGGTTGTCTTTTATGGAGTTGCTTCCTAAAAAAAGCGCTCCTTGCGGCTTGAAACCCTGTGATGGGATTTAAGTAACTTCGTTACAGTACACCGCTTGTAAAGGCTTCAAACCATTTGAGAGAAGAATTTTTTTAGGCGTGCGTTGTTTTTCTGTCCTTTCGTTTTCTTCATAACTTGACATTTCCTCGATTTTTCCCTTTAGGAAAATAAATAAAACATATTTATGCTATTTTTTATACAACTTCAAAGTCATGCTTTGGAAAACCGATCTTCCAAGAATTTTAACTATTAAAGTTATTCTTGTGAAGTTATGTTTCAACTTAAGTATTCAGTAGTTAAAGTGTTGAAGGAAAAAAAAAAATATAGAAATGAAGTTCTTTTTTCCTTTACATTGGGAGTATCGAAATCGAATATTTTCAACTGAAAATTTATTCATCACGTGTTGACATTATCGCTGAGTGATAGAGGTTTTAATATGGCGACAGTAAAGCTAGGATATATAATATATATCGTTGACGATATATCGCGATACTTTTCCCGATTTTTAACTTATTTACATTATTTTAAATTAGTAAATAGTTTTGTCGGCTGAAAGGAAATTAACACTTACGATAATGATACAATATTTATGATTCGTAATGATCGCGATATTATGGTTATTGATGCATGGTAATGATGATTTATCGTTAAATTATTTTTATAGTAGTAACGCCCCAATTAAGTTGAGATTTCTTGTTTGGAGCTTTTTTATAAATAACTATTTTCTTATTTCACTTGAACATTTTATTTTAACTGTTTTTTCTTCCCAATTTTATTTCGGCACTTCGATTTCTATTTATGTAGTGTCAAATATTTATGTAGGTTTTTCTATTGC